AACACAGGCTTGTTACAGGTAGATGTAGTACCAGAACATAGGCTCGTTACAGGTAGATGTAGAACCAGAACATAGGCTCGTTACAGGTAGATGTAGTACCAGAACACAGGCTTGTTACAGGTAGATGTAGAACCAGAACATAGGCTCGTTACAGGTAGATGTAGAACCAGAACATAGGCTTGTTACAGGTAAATGTAGTACCAGAACACAGGCTTGTTACAGGTAGATGTAGAACCAGAACATAGGCTTGTTACAGGTAGATGTAGTACCAGAACACAGGCTTGTTACAGGTAGATGTAGAACCAGAACATAGGCTCGTTACAGGTAGATGTAGAACCAGAACATAGGCTTGTTACAGGTAGATGTAGTACCAGAACACAGGCTTGTTACAGGTAGATGTAGTACCAGAACATAGGCTCGTTACAGGTAGATGTAGTACCAGAACATAGGCTCGTTACAGGTAGATGTAGAACCAGAACATAGGCTCGTTACAGGTAGATGTAGTACCAGAACATAGGCTCGTTACAGATAGATGTAGTACCAGAACATAGGCTCGTTACAGGTAGATGTAGTACCAGAACATAGGCTCGTTACAGGTAGATGTAGTACCAGAACATAGGCTTGTTACAGGTAGATGTAGAACCAGAACATAGGCTCGTTACAGGTAGATGTAGTACCAGAACATAGGCTCGTTACAGGTAGATGTAGTACCAGAACATAGGCTTGTTACAGGTAGATGTAGTACCAGAACATAGGCTTGTTACAGGTAGATGTAGTACCAGAACATAGGCTTGTTACAGGTAGATGTAGTACCAGAACATAGGCTTGTTACAGGTAGATGTAGTACCAGAACATAGGCTTGTTACAGGTAGATGTAGTACCAGAACATAGGCTTGTTACAGGTAGATGTAGTACCAGAACATAGGCTTGTTACAGGTAGATGTAGTACCAGAACATAGGCTTGTTACAGGTAGATGTAGACCCAAAACATACACAGTATAAATGTGTCTCTCCAACTGTCTCACTACCCGACTGTATATATGTCTGCCAACTGTCTGACTATCCAACTGTATATATTTGTCTCTCCAGCTGTCTCACTCTCCGACTGTATATATGTGTCTGTCCAACTATCTCGCTATCCGACTGTATATATGTGTCTGTCAAACTGTCTCACTATCCGACTGTATATGTGTCTGTCCAACTATCCCGCTATCCGAGTGTATATATGTGTCTGTCCAACTATCCCGCTATCCGACAGTACATATGTGTCTGCCAACTGTCTGACTATCCGACAGTATATATGTGTCTGTCCAACTGTCTCACTATCCGACTGTATATATGTGTGTGTCCAACTATCTCGCTATCCGACTGTGTATATGTGTCTGTCCAACTGTCTCACTATCCAAATGTTTATATGTGTCTGCCAACTGCCTCACTATCCCACTGAATATATATGTGTCTGCCAACTGTCCCACTATCCGACTGTATATATGTGTCTCTCCAACTGTCTCACTATCCGACTGTATATATGTGTCTGTCCAACTGTCTCACTATCCGACTGTATATATGTGTCTGTCCAACTGTCTCGCTATCCGACTGTATATATGTGTCTCTCCAACTGTCTCACTATCCGACTGTACATATGTGTCTGTCCAACTGTCTCACTATCCGACTGTATATATGTGTCTGCCATCTGTCTCACTATCAAACTGTGTATATGTGTCTGTCCAACTGTCTCACTATCTTAATGTTTATATGTGTCTTCTAACTGCCTCACTATCCCACTGAATATATATGTGTCTGTCAACTGTCTCACTATCTAATTGTATATATGTGTCTGTCCAACTATCTTACTATCCGACTGTTTATATGTGTCTGTCCAACTATCCCGCTATCCGACAGTATATATGTGTCTGCCAACTGTCTCACTATCCGACAGAATATATGTGTCTGCCAACTGTCTCACTATCCGACTGTATATATGTGTCTGTCCAACTGTCTCGCTATCCGACTGTATATATGTGTCTGTCCAACTATCTTGCTATCCGACTGTATACATGTGTCTGTCAAACTATCTCACTATCCGACTGTATATGTGTCTCTCCAACTATCCCGCTATCCGAGTGTATATATGTGTCTGTCCAACTATCCCGCTATCCGACGGTATATATGTGTCTGTCCAACTGTCTCACTATCCGACTGTATATATGTGTCTGTCCAACTGTCTCACTATCCGACTGTATATATGTGTCTGCCAACTGTCTCACTATCCGACTGTATATATGTGTCTGTCCAACTGTCTCACTATCTAATAAATTGTATATATGGGTCTGTCCAACTATCTCACTATCCGACTGTTTATATGTGTCTGTCCAACTGTCTCACTATCCCACTGTATATATATGTCTGCCAACTCTCTCACTATCCGACTGTATAAATGTGTCTGTCCAACTGTCCACTACCCGACTGTATATATGTGTCTGTCCAAATGTCTCGCAATCCGACTGTATATATGTGTCTGTCCAACTGTCTCACTATCCAACTGTATATGTGTATGCCAACTGTCTCACTATCCGACTGTATATATGTGTCTGTCCAACTTTCTCGCTATCCGACTGTATATATGTGTCTGTCCAACTGTCACGCTATCCGACTTTATATATGTGTCTGTCCAACTGTATCACTATCCAACTGTATATATGTGTCTGTCCAACTGTCTCACTATCCAATTGTATATATGTGTCTGTCAAACTGTATCGCTACCCGACTTTATATCTTTTTCAAGTTTTGGCACTACTACGTATATACCAGATTTGTCTCAACTTGTCCAAGCTTAACCGCGCTTAAAGTCTTACCTGTTCTGAAAGTCTAACAATGCCAAACATTTTCACGTTCTGTCTAAACTGACTTGTGACATTCCAGTTGTGTCCATTACTGTCCAACAAAACAGAACCGTCGAAAGTGACATGTGACAGTCTTGTAAAAACATTAGCAGTCATATCTTGACAGACAGTGACCGTCGAACAGTGCAACTTCGTAAATCGGGACACCCTTAATCCGGACACCAACGTTCCGGGCGATATTGATGAATTGTCACAGAGTGACTTAATAGCACTCTGTTTGGACAACGTATTATCTTTTAAAAATTATAGCTTCTGGGACCCGTTCCTCAAAGCGATCTTAGTGCTACGACTGTCGTAAGTCAGTGTTAAAGAATGGGAGTTACGACCGACTTAGCGCTAAGATAACTTTGTGGAACGGGGCCCTCAACTACTTCCCTTTTGTGCAGCGTTGAGTTACATATCGTTTAGGGTGTCTGGACTATTTACCTTGATGTAATCCATGCGTAACAGCGGTCACTTGTGCAATTGTCTAACACAGCAATTCACATTTTGACATTTATAGCGTAAATCTATTTTCCCCTTGGCCCTGTAATCACATCATAAGTCCCATGTCCAGGGTAACGCCATTGTCTTTTCGTCTGTCCATTGTTATCCAATAGTGTAATAAGTTTACATCTTTACTGTTAGTTGGTCTAGTATTCCGACAGCACCTGTATGTACAGCCGCCATTTGGATACACCTGCTTGCTGGACTTGACTTGTGGTACAGTAAACTACGGTTATAACAAACTGAAAGGGACTACTAATTTTAGTTCGTAAAAACCGTAATTCGATACAAACATATATACAGCAAATGGTTGGACCAAAAAACAGTTCGTAATATCCGTCATCTCGTTATAAGCGTGTTCGTTATAACCGTAGCTTACTGTAGTTGAGTTGGAATCTCCGTTACATAATTCTATTAGTAATTGTATTTGTTTGTTTTATTGCCGACTAAAGAAGTTGGACTCAACGTATGCTTCGTCTTCAATCTGAGCTAATTTCCTCATCAACATTCTCGTTGACAGAATGTTACCTTGATTAAAGTTACCCTGGATAAATTGGACAATTTCATTCAGAACGGCACTGTCCGGTTTTACGAGGTTTGTTTGTTTGTTGTTTAACGCCACGATATTCAAGCTATATGACGGCGGGCTGTAAATAATCGAGTATGGACCAGACAATCCAGTGATTGACAACATGAGCATCGATCCACGCAATTGGGCTTTAACGAGGTGTTACTGTATATCGGTGTGGCATTTACAACTTGCCTGTCCTTGCGCCAGTATAGTACTACCAATTTAGTAGAACCAGTGCGACCAATCAGCCAGCTGTGTCAATATTATCATGGAGGCATGTATCTACCCTACAGTGTATCATGAACATTACAAAATCGATTGAATACAGAGGAATATGACAACCAGTCTGCCATTGGAGCCACCTGTCGACATCAACAGGTTATAATGGTCTTGTATATTTCCATATATCAAATAACAATGCATATACTAACGTGGAAAATGTCCGTAAAATTGTGAACCATTGTATATGTGAACAATACCAGGCTAATGCATAGAAATAAAATAAAACACAAAATGATGTTATAAATGTATAATAATATGATAGGCTTTTATACTAGGTTACTTTAGAAGATAATTGGGCCCCATACACCTTGTGTCAATAAAATCCTGAATCACCAAATGTGTTAAGATAATGTTAATGGTAAGGACAAAAAACAAAACAAATTGTTAATATGAACAAGGTTATTTTGAGGGATAACTAGGCCTACGGTGCCTCCTAGTCCAGTTGTAGGTATGTTTTACTGTTCGGCAAGCGTCCTCTTAGGAAATAACCGTATTTTGCTGAGTTGGCTTTTTTAAGTCGCTCACCCCGACCACAACCCCCTTAAGCCTACCCCTACCCCGCAGCCCCCCACCCACGACTCTACCCTCAAGTCCATGTCGGGAAACCGACTCGATTTGTGCCAATGAACTAATAAGCACGTCACGTGTGGTTGGGTCCCTACCTTGTGGACCGTGTGGACCTTGTGGACCGTGTGTCAGAGGTCCACCTGTCTCCCAGGTACAATCTGTGCACATGAAGTTCGAGCAAGACTACTTACGTGTTGACAGTCGTATTACGGACGCCCCATGCTGAGCAGATCTGGAGGTGATATGTGCTGCAAACATCTGTTGCAGATAGGCCATCCATACAGCCAGTAGTGCGAGACGCATAGTGACTAAGCTTCACACCAATCTCGTGGTTCTGGTGACGCGATTATCCCATTTGAAACAGATCCCGTGTTGGTATGCCATGTGCTGCTGTCGCTCTAACTCGCCCGTCCACGGCTCACACCGGCACTGCTCTACTCGCGAGGAGCTGGAGTAATTGTCGTAATTAGACGTCACCAGCGTAGATCCCGACTTCCGGTCATCGCTTGAACTCACTGTGTTTGATACATCACGTTCTCTTTGATGCGGGACTTTGATGAGCAGGCAGCACGCGTTCCGTATTCACAGTAGCTGTCCATAGCATCCCGTAAAGAGCAGACAGCACATACGTGGGGCAATACTGGTCCATAACCTCAGTCGGAGCCGTGAGTGAATGAAGGCGGCTTGCGATCAGAGACGGTAGTTGGAGAGATCGATAGACATACAGTCAGACCTCGCGGAGATCGGGCGCGACCGCAGCACATACAGCAGGAATGGTGAAATCGGTTATGGATCAGAGGTATTCTCGAGCGGGACGGAACGTGTTGATGGGAGGTATGACAGACAACCACACGGGCATATTGATGGAATCATGGTATCATAATAAATACAAACACGTTTCCTGGAGACCTACAGTACTGAAGACGCCATGAGAAGGTTCTCACGGTGGAGACACAGAGCTGTCCATCAAAAGAAACCGATTTCGATTGATAGTTTTCTGGGATGGGGACCATCCGATGCCTGTGTATTTTGGTGTTGTGTTTGCAAGGGACCTGAGGATGTCGGCAGTCGGCCCTGTAAGTTGTCAATGAGGAAGTCCGATATCCAAATGTGCCTGAACCGGGGGCACGGGTGGCCTAGTCGTCTAAGGAGCCGCGATTCACTGTGCAGAGTTGCGTCCCTTAGGCACGCCAGAAACCTATGAGTGTGGGTTCGAATCCCGGTTCGCCCCGATTATGTTGCTAGGTTTGGCAGCACCATACCCGTGCTCGTTGGTTTCACAGAAGTGGTAAACGTCTGAGACCTGCATCACTTCGGGCTTTCCTAACACATTAAGTTGACACGCTGTGATATGACTGGAATACTGTTAAAAGCGGCGTTAAACCCAACTCACTCACTCACTCACTCAGTCAGTACTGAACCCTGGGATAGGGCATACGGCATCATAGATATCCTCGTAAACAGCTGGGGATAGAACGATTGAAGTTAATTTAAAACATGTTTTGTGTTAGAAGAGCAGTACGTACTCAATAGGACAAAGTCACAGCAGGAAATAATCGATCTGATTGAGAGAAAGTCAGAGAAAGAGACCGGCAGTCGATCTGACGGGGAGTCAGTCACGGAAAGAGACAGACAGTCGGTCTGATGTTGAGAGAGTCACAGAAAAGGACATAAAGTCCATCTGACGGAGAAAAAGAAAAAGACACCCGGTCGATCTCTCGGAGACACAGTCACAGAAAAAGACAGACGGTCGATCTGACTTGGAGACAGTCACAGAAAGAGACAGACAGTCGACATTGACAGTAAAGGACAGACAGTCGATCTGACGGGGAGACATTCACAAAAAGACACAGACAGTCGATTTGAGGGAAAGACATTCACAGAAAGACACAGACAGTCGATCTGACGGGGAGACATTCAAAGAAAGACACAGACAGTCGAACTGACGGGGAGATATTCACAGAAAGACACAGATAGTCGATCTGACGGGGAGACATTCACAGAAAGACACAGACAGCCGATCTGAGGGAAAGACATTCACAGAAAGAGACAGATAGTCGATCTGACGGGGAGACATTCACAGAAAGAGACAGACAGTCGATCTGACGGGGAGACATTCACAAAAAGAGACAGACAGCCGATCTGACGGGGAGACATTCACAAAAAGAGACAGACAGCCGATCTGACGGGGAGACATTCACAGAAAGAGACAGACAGTCGATCTGACGGGGAGACATTCACAAAAAGAGACAGACAGTCGATCTGAGGGAAAGACATTGACAGAAAGACACAGACAGTCGATCTGAGGGAAAGACATTTACAGAAAGAGACAGACAGCCGATCCGACGAGAAGGCAAAAAACAGGAAGAGAAAGACCGTCATCTCATACACATATATACAGTTGGAGAGACACATATATTCAATAGGATAGTTAGAGAGTTGAAGAGACACATATGTACAGTTGCATAGTGAGGTAGTTTGAGAGACACATATATACAGTCGGATGGCGAGACAGTTGGACAGACACATATATACAGTTGGATAGTGAGAGTTGGACAGACATATATAAACAGTCGGATAGTTGACAGTTGGACAGACACATATATACAGTTGGATAGTGAGACAGTTGGACAGACACATATATAAAGTTGGATAGTGAGACAGTTGGACAGACACATATATACAGTTGGATAGTGAGACAGTTGGACAGACACATATATAAAGTTGGATAGTGAGAGAGTTGGCAGACATATATATACAGTCGGATAGTGAGACAGTTGGACAGACACATATATACAGTCGGATGGCGAGACAGTTGGACAGAGACATATATACAGTTGGATAGTGAGACAGTTGGACAGACACATATATACAGTTGGATAGTGAGAGAGTTGGCAGACATATATATACAGTCGGATAGTGAGACAGTTGGACAGACACATATATACAGTTGGATAGTGAGAGAGTTGGCAGACATATATATACAGTCGGATAGTGAGACAGTTGGAGAGACACATATATACAGTAGGATAGTGAGACAGTTGGACAGACACATATATACAGTTGGATAGTGAGAGAGTTGGCAGACATATATACATGTATACAGTCGGATACTGAGACAGTTGGACAGACACATATATACAGTCGGATGGCGAGACAGTTGGACAGAGACATATATACAGTTGGATAGTGAGACAGTTTGACAGACATATATATTCAATAGGATAGTTAGAGAGTTGAAGAGACACATATGTACAGTCGCATAGTGAGATTGTTGGACAGACACATATATACAGTCGGATGGCGAGACAGTTGGACAGACACATATATACAGTTGGATAGTGAGAGTTGGACAGACATATATAAACAGTCGGATAGTTGACAGTTGGACAGACACATATATACAGTTGGATAGTGAGACAGTTAGACAGACACATATATACAGTCGGATAGTGAGACAGTTGGCAGACATATATATACAGTCGGATAGTGAGACAGTTGGACAGACACATATATACAGTTGGATAGTGAGAGTTGGACAGACATATATAAACAGTCGGATAGTTGACAGTTGGACAGACACATATATACAGTTGGATAGTGAGACAGTTGGACAGACACATATATACAGTTGGATAGTGAGAGAGTTGGCAGACATATATATACAGTCGGATAGTGAGACAGTTGGACAGACACATATATACAGTCGGATGGCGAGACAGTTGGACAGAGACATATATACAGTTGGATAGTGAGACAGTTGGACAGACACATATATACAGTCGGATAGTGAGAGAGTTGGCAGACATATATATACAGTCGGATAGTGAGACAGTTGGACAGACACATATATACAGTTGGATAGTGAGAGAGTTGGCAGACACCTATATACAGTCGGATAGCGAGACAGTTGGAGAGACACATATACACAGTTGGATAGTGAGAGAGTTGGCAGACATATATATATATATATATATATATATATATATATATATATATATATATATATACAGTCAGATAGTGAGAGAGTTGGCAGACATATATATACAGTCGGATACTGAGACAGTTGGCAGACATATATATACAGTCGGATAGTGAGACAGTTGGACAGACACATATACACAGTCGAATAGTGAGAGTGTTGGCAGACATATATATACAGTCGGATAGTGAGACAGTTGGCAGACATATATATACAGTCGGATAGCGAGACAGTTGGACAGACACATATACACAGTTGGATAGTGAGAGAGTTGGCAGACATATATATATATATATATATATATATATACAGTCGGATAGTGAGAGAGTTGGCAGACACATATGTACAGTCGGATAGAGAAACAGGAGTACAGATCCATAATATAGAGTTTGATAGTGAGACAGTCAGACAGTCACAACTAGTAACTCATAGGGGCATAGTGAGGCAGTCAAAAAGACACCAATTGACAGTCAGAGAAACAGTCAGACAGTCACAACTACTAACTCATAGAGGCATAGTGAGGCAGTCAAAAAGACACCAATTGACAGTCAGAGAAACAGTCAGACAGTCACAACATGGAAGTGTGATGGATGTGTACAACAACATGGATGTGTGACGGATGTGTACAACAACATGGATGTGTGATGGATGTGTACAACAACATGGATGTGTGACGGATGTGTACAACAACATGGAAGTGTGATGGATGTGTACAACAACATGGATGTGTGACGGATGTGTACAACAACATGGATGTGTGATGCATGTGTACAACAACATGAAAGGTCACGGATGTGTACAACAACATGGATGTTTGATGCATGTGTACAACAACATGAAAGGTCACGGATGTGTACAACAACATGGATCTCTGCAACAAAATGACCGTGTAAACAACATAGTTGCCGTGACGTTGCAAGAAGATATGTCAGAGGCGGAAACGCTAGCTGTCTGTTTTCTTCCAATGGCGGATCTAAAGCCTAGTCAGGTTCTGCTGCAATGCAATCTCGTGGACCGAGACGCTATTGACGTGACATTTCGTGATTAGAAGCACTTCTGCACTAATCAAGAAAAAAACGGTTCTAAACATCCCGTTTTCCTTCTATTTTAGATGCTGTTCTTTCGTGACTTGGACAATTTGTGTTCTCCGCATGGGCATTTAAATATTCGATGGCGGAATCTGAAGGTAATTACGAAATTGCGTGAGTACGTTCATCCGGCTAGTGGAACAGGCGGATTGTGTTAAAGACTAGCAGGCGTAGAGGATGCCCTTGTACGTTGATGCTGGCATGTGATGTATGGACCTGGATACATAAATTACAGGGCGAGTCGACTGCATACACTTACACGTGAACCTGCAGGAAAGAGACACACGTACATGAACAAACGCACAACACACGCACGCGCAAACATGCACTCGTAGACACATACGCATGAAATCTACCCGTACACTTACTCATGCGTGTGTTCAAATGCACGGTACACGCAAACTCACATGCTAGTTGCACATACGTATACATATTTACGGGGTACGTATGCATATTTACGTAAGAATAAGCATGAACGCATAAATACGCATTACTCGTAAGGGTTTGGAGAGCGTGCAAAGTTCCGATATTTGCGTATGTGTGTTGCAGGGATTCTCAACCCGATGGGTGAGTGGGGAATTCACACCACCATTCCTTCCTCCAAGCAGGTTGATTATCCTC